AAGTTTTCTGATCTGAACGGAATTAAATTATAGTAAACAACATTTTGCACCTCAAGTCAATTCAATGAACTAAGTAAACAACCTCAAGTGTGCGTTTAATCCTCCAATCCCCAACTTTTCATCAGATATGTAATCTACTGTATGTGCCAGTTCTTTTTTCAAAAAGGGCCATCGTGGATATTTACCGTTCGACCCCTTGGCAGAGTTCTTAACGTTTTGATTACTATGGGAACCCTACTATCGATCGAAATTTCCCTTAGGTATACTGATATTTTATGGGGATTCAGAAGTATAGTAAAGATAGTGTGCGGTGTCTCTCAACTCAAACTTTGGATGACTACCATACCTTCCAGCATGGCTGTTAGTAGAACCTCTGAGGCGGTACCCAAAAGTGAGAACTATTCTCTGGAGGCGAATGGATTGGCACTGCTAGGTACGTTTACTAGATCCTAGTATCAGTTTCAGTATTTCGGTTAGGAATCTCTGAACTAGGTGACAATCTGCGAGTGCTCGAGAAAAAGTTAAATTTCACTTGAACATGAACCGCGTTCGGGCACTCTTGAACGTGCTGAACAGGCGGAAATGTTCAAAAAGAGCGCAATACCGTCATTTGATTGCTACTGAACAATCAAAAATCATGTCAAAGAATCCTAAACATGAGACGCGTCGCAACAGAGTTTGTTTCACGACTGCTTTCTTATGACCAAGTCTCGATATATGTCAGGAATTGTAAGGGCAGACACAAACTAACCCCGATTTTTTTTAGTCAAATGTTGTCACAGGAAATTAGTTTAGTACTGCAACTATGATATTAAGGATGATAAGTTTGCTAGCCCGTGAGATGTCAATCAAAATTCTGAAACGTGTTTTGACTAGAGATATCTTAATTAAGGTTGTAATATTAATTGTCGTGCGCTTTCATCCCGAGATATTTCATTCGCATAAACTTTTTGATGAGCTTCTTCCCGGCAGTCTGCAAAAGACTGCATTCTGTAAAATGACTACTTAAGTAGTGTGGATTTTTTTTCATTGACTTTTGGTACCCTTATAATGCAACTATATTTCACAGAAAACAACCACAAAAATATTCCCCTTTGTACTCGTTTGGTGACCAATTGTGTCTTAAAATGTTATATTTGAGGAAGGAATAATTTTAAGTTTTAAATAGAATTTACAATTATGAAACTACTTGAGGCTGTAAAATGTCTATTGATAAAACATTGTATCGGATTCGGCGGTCGAACCGCCAGGGCAGCGTGCGATCGCCATCTTGGGTTGTCCGGAGAAGAAAGGCTGCCTGCACCAATGTCTTCTGACGACAGAAAGCTGGATTAGCTCACTGAATCGTAATTGCGTCAGCTGTTTGCAGCCCCTGTTTGCGTTGGCCTTTAGAGTAGTGCGTTCACGCCCAGTACGTAGAGGAGCTAGGCTGAAAGGTGGTGTTGGAATAAATTTAAGTTGAGGTGTGTTAAACAGTGACACCAGGTTTAGAGGGGCAACACTGAACTCATGGACATAGCGACGGACAATACGTACGGACTGCCTAAACCAGTTTTGTTGTATGGACTATGCTGTCGTCGCAGTGTTTCCGAAAAGCATATCGACCGTCTTAGTTGGGACAACATCCAAATTACAGTACCATAAACCTGAGTCCTTCTGTCCCCTTATTAAATGGCTGCTTGGAATTGGAGAAGAGGGTAATTGGGTCTGGTGATGACCACATTTTAAGTTACCTCTCTTGACGAAACAGTGGCACTATCGAAACTTGTCTAAGCATACTCAAGTGCAAGTCGATTCCGGCGGTAAATACATCTAACTTTTAACATCTAACGGTAACTTGGCTTTGGATGTTCGGGACTGTCAACCTTTTCCGACATACTTCAAGTAACCGGAAGACGGAATTTTATGCTGGTCTGGGAATATTCTGATTTTTACAGCAGCCTCCTTCACCCAACTCAGCCCCTTTTCATTAGGCACACAGATACGCCTTATCCAGCATAAATATAGGGAAGATGAAAAAGGTAAAATTAAAAATGAGATGCGTCCGTTGGTCAGCTCCTAGCACAAGCAAGCAAACGACGCCGCTAAACTCAACACATAGGGTTGGCCATGGCAGAACCGTAAATCTCAGAAACTCTTATTTTGAAGCCGTTTTGTAGTCTGGAAAATCGTCTCCAGTTCCCGACTAAATATTTTTCATTAACGCTCTCGCTTAAAAAAACATTCCAACGAACTGCAAACATTTTCAGTAATCATGAGCATTGTTTTGATCCGTCTGTCTAGCTCACTCGGCTTCTTTCACCCATGGCCAGTCGTCGATGGGATTACCGTTTCAGGATTCTGCGCCCAGTTTTCCTGCCCCACCAACGCCGAAATCTGCCGCTTCCCAACGACCTCTCGGAAAACCGTCAACACCAGCAAGTACTACTGCATCACCTCCCCTGCAGAAGCCTGCGTCGTCTGTCAAGGCGTATAAACCTGCAGGCACTTGGTTCTCGTCCAGCGGTCAGCGAGTTCCGGTGCTCAGTCCAGAATCGCATGAACGCCTTCTGCGTTACCTGGCGACAGGTGAGATACCTGAATTGAAGATCCGCACAGCTGGCCTCTCATGGGCCCGTTTAATTGAGGGAGCTGGTCAAACTGTTGCCAACGCGGTCACACACCATCTTCGACAGACGGGAACCCACGGTCTTCGGTAAACAAAATTGATTTCCCTGTTCTCATTCACCTATTTTCTCTCTCAACTTCACCATCACTCGCTACTTGTTCTCGTTTCTTTATACTATTCTCACAATGTTTTTTTTTCTATATGTACACATTTCAGGGATTTTTTGAACGGTTAAAGTCGCCTGTTGCCTCTGCCCCAACCGTCCGCGTCCGTATCTTGATTCGTAAAACCAGCCAGTCTTGGTAGTCTGACAGCTGTCCCGATACAATGAGAAGTGCGCTTATCACTTCCATGTGTGTTTTAGTAATGTAGGAGCCCTTATACCTTTTCGCTCCTAAATTGATTAACAAGGTGGACTTATAAGAAATTTCTCATGCGCCCCTGCTTTAGGTCCCCATGTGGAAGTGGCTTCTGTCGATCTGGCTTTATGCCAGTGGAACGGAATAGGGTTTTCACTCCAGCCCCGGAGATCTAGTCTAGACCTTTTTTGCAGACGGCCACCTGTGTACTGTACTTTAGAATGCCGACTGATCGGTCGTTGCAACCCCCAACTGACTTAATAATTCCGGTCGCGGTCGACTGAACTTGAGCCTGCGACTTAATTGACGGTGTAGTTACCATCGGGATGGGTTGGAAATATTCGGCTGACTGGTGGAGAATAGGACAAGAATAAACATGTCAGTCTCCGTTCTCACTGTCGGTACTGCATGTCTCCAAAATTATTGTCAGACTATTTAAAATCCTTTGATAGAAGTGGTGTGGAAGGAGCTCGTTTCTGTTCCATGCCGTATTTAGTGCATCTATAATAGGCCCTTCCTATTATAAACCAGGGTAAGGATACCTTATACGTATCATCATAGGATCACATGACCCAAAACCCCTGTAATACGCAATCGATAGTAATTTAGAATATTTATACATTTATTTTCCATTCAAAGATAGCAAACAAAAACAACTATTTAGGCAACAGTGAATCATTCCTTACAGCTATCGAAAAGCAACTTACATGAAACTGTCTAAATAGTAGATATGTAAATACTTAGATACAAGGAAAGCATAGTAGTAATAAAAAAGTGGATGACCGCTACGAACTATAGATATCGTGCAACCTGGGCATGTTTAACCCCTACCTGCACATGACTCAGACCATTCTATCATTGCCTATGGCTAAGGATTCTCGACGGAATCCGAAACGTCAGAAAAATAAAGCTCTTGTTCCAGTGGTCGCGTCTTCTTCTGAGCTTTTCATCAGTCGTAACGTTCGGTTTCTGTTGAAATAGGTTGTTCAATGGATATAGTATTTTTACATGCGAAAGGGTTACTTTGGTCATACCTATAGCCCATTCTTACCAAAACCAGGACACGCATGTGCTGAAAGCAGTCTTGCACTCCGTTCAGCATTTTGACCGTTGGATCTCACGTCGTTTTTTTCTTTTCTTATCTCAAACTTCATTTCTGGATTGTACTTTACTGTGTAACTAGTGCCATCTTTCCCGAGGATTCCGCTTCTGCTAAACTTTTCTCTTCTTGGCCCCCTATGGGAGTGCGTTTGACTGCGAAAATTTCAGCCTTTCAGCATGCTAAGAACGCTACAACCGATGGCGATTAACGCTACCCGGGAGACTGCAGTGACTTGTACCCCAATTGCTTCCTTTTGGAGAACAGGTTAACAGCGTCTACTCCCACCTTCTTTCCATATGCATTATACTCTAGCATCAAGTTGATACTGTTAGAATTGCCGTAGGCCGAATGACTGGCTGCAGCATTCACACTATCGC